CGTACAAAGAGTTTGTGCGCGTCGTTCACGCAAAATCCGTAATTGCTTCGCACGGTTGCACATCCCCGACTGTTTGCCAATTTGCTCGGTTTGCCGCTGTTTGCGTTACGCTAGAAATGCCACGGCGAGATGTTTCGTTCCCTCAAAATTATTTTAACTCTCTACGTGTGCGTGTGTCTCACTGTTTAAAAAACTTCCCGTGTTGTAATGTTATTAATAAATTTTTCCTTTACTGTAAAACAATAAGAATTTCTTTCACTCCGTTGTTATATATGGAGTGATATTAATATAAATATTAATATAAATTAATATAAATTCAAATTTGTCATCAAAATTTATTTCACTATGTTCTATTAATTGAGTTTCAAACGTCTAACATTTTTTTAAATTATAAATCAGGATGCTGAATTTTTTTTTCATTAAATTGAAATTATTGTAAAACTTGTTAAAATTACGGAAGGAAGAGCCAAGATTTTTCTGTACATATACAATAAGTTGCACTTAATGAAGTGAAACTGCGAAATGCCGAGGCAGTTAGTCCGTTTCATCGCCGACGTTTTTCCTCGGCAAATATGATTAAGTTTTCGAGAAAATCGCGCTAACGAGGAAAGAAGAAGGCGTTAAAGGGGGTGCCTTCGGCAGGAGACGAACGCTCACGGCGTCCTTTTTGAATCCGTGCGGAGGAATATTGCGGCTCGGAATCTCTCCGTTGCGCCCAGGTCGCGGCGCGTAATCTGACTTTGATCATCGTCATTCCTCCGAAGAAACAGGCGCGAACTTTTGTGCCCCAAGCAACCGGTCCGACCCTTGCGTCTCGCCGACCGAAAAACTTATTTTCTCCTTGAAGAGCAACCCCTCCCCCTGGGAAGAGGGCAGTTCGTTAATACGAAGGCGCGAGCGAAAGCGTCCCCGAGAGATTGTGCGAGCGAGCTGCATCGACTCGACAGACTCGAAGAAATAAGTCTTGATGAGAGTCTAATAATGTTTTATCCCTCCTTCCTCTTCTTTGCTCTTCAGTTGTTGAAAAAAAAAAAAAATTTGGTTAATCCTAGACTCGTAAAGTTAAAAGGATGAACTTATGATTATGCTACAGTAAAAAATTATACCGAGGGATTTAACACGCGTAATGGACACACAACGGAGTTGTGCAAAATTAGTAGACGCGGCCCGAAAATTCGGGACCCATTTTATTAACGCGGTAATTCCATGATGTAGGTATAGTAGACAATTCCATTTGTTCGGGGAATTATGCTCATAGCTATTTAGACAGTTACAAATATGTCGACTTCTAATTAGGTGCCAAGTTTTAACGAAGAGCCTCGTTAGAGTGTTAATGCAATGTTCACCCCCCCCCCGCTCGTCTCGGTAGGCTCGCTCATGCTCGGAAAATATCGCCGTTATAAACAGTGTAGTTAAAACTGAACTGCAACTGCAGTTGCAAAAGCTTTACCTAGAATCAGCCCGATGATAACTGCGCAACGTGTGTTTATGAGGCTCGATCATTGTTGGCGATACTAATCAGCATCGCCCGCGCCGAGCAGTCCGCGCGACGCTCGACTGGCTTCGATCAAGCACCCTCGTTTGCTCGACTCGATAATAATCAATCGGACGTGGTTGCCATTCGAACGTAGTGAATTCGAAATAATTGCCTGTCCACCCCCGGCGCCCTCCCTTCCCGCGTCCCCCGCGCGTCCGGCGCGCCCCGTCCTCTCTTTTCCTTTCTTTCCATGGGTGGGGGGCGGCGCGGCGGGAGCGCGTAATCCATTCGACATAACACATTTTCCAGCAAATTATCAACTTATTAATGGACTAATTTCTCACAGTCCGCTACTCATTGTCTTTCTCTCTCTCTCTCTTTCTCTCTGTTCGATTCCACTAAATTATTTTATTTCCGTCATCGCATTTAAGCGCCTGTCTTTACTCGCGACACGTGTATCGATGAACGCAATATTTGTTTTTAATCGCATCTCGTTGGAGTCTATTTTCAGCGTGAACAATTAAAGCGTATATTATACTTGCATCGTCTCAGCTTTTATTAAATTCTTTCACTTTTACGTGCATATAATTGTTTAAATGTGGACTTTATTATTTCAAAATTATTGTAAGGTGTACAAGTCTATGTAGTATATTAAGATATCGTAGAATTTGTGTGTGCATGTATTAAAACGAACGAAAAAATCTTTTTTGCACACACATGTAGAGGAACTTTAAAGTCCAAAAATGGGATGACGATTCGATCTCGAATCGACATTAACGTTAGAAAACCAGGGACGGGGAACAAAAAAGATATTAATTCGATGAAATTTTCATGCGCCCCGCCTTGCGCCATGCGATGCTGTGTGCGATAAAGTTAAAAATTAACGCGCGCGAGGAAACGGAATCGTCTCCCTCGAATTTTTCAGCCGCGAGAGCATCTCAGATAACGTGTACCTACCCGTCACAAGAGCGGCACCTTGCAATCTCCTGCGGAAGTCCCTGGTGGACCGTCGCGGTATGCAAACAAGGGCGAGATAGGTCGAAAAAGCGGGAGAGAACCGCCGCCGGGGATGGTGGTGGTGGCGGTGACGATGGTGGACGACTGCGACGAGGGGAGCCCGAGGTGGTTGTTCTAGCCGTACCAGCGCGGATGCAGCGGGAGTGTTACTAATTGGAGGGGGCACCGAGGGGAAGGAAACCTTGTTATCTCTTAATTGCTACGACCCTCCGCGCTGTTTTGCATCGATAAGGAGCGCGAGTCGGAACCGGGCGGTTGTTTCGCGGACCGTGTCGATCGCGCTTATCGATCTGACTCCTCAACGGGATTATTCAGCGGGATCTAACGATCCTTCTCATCTCTACCACCCCTTCCTCTTTTTATATTCTTGCAATACAGTCCATAGCTAACTCTCATGATCTTCTTTTACAACAACAACAACAACAAAATTGGAAAATTACACAGATTTTTCATAAAAAAAAACTCCCATGGAAAGAGAATACATAATCGATATAATTCATCCAGTCTTTTATTTTCATCACGAGATGTTTCGTGAAGCGCCACATAGTTATTCTTTAAATCATTTTTTAATCCCGTGTTTATCCCTGTGGAAAGCGAGGCGGCGGCGATTCCTCGACTATATCTAAGAACAGTTAAGTCCGTAAAAGATTGTATCGGGCGCTGTAATCCCGATCCATCGATACGACGCCAAGCGATACGCGATTCCGCGCACGAAACGAATCCGGGGAGCCGGATCGTAACGAGTTCGATTATCCTGGCGCGGCATGAGTCAGTCGTCGCTCCTGTCCTGTTCCTGCAGCTATACCTCCGCAGCGCGACGCACGCCCTCCGTTTCATTCCGGCCCTTTCCCCCGGTATAACGGGTGTCCGGATTCCCAGGAGGTTTTCCGCCCCCTTTTCAAGCCTCATTGCTATGCACCGCTCGAAACTCCGCTAACGACCTTACACACCCTCCCGACCCCTCCGCGACCCCTCCGTCCCTCCTCGGAAGGCCACCTCGCACACGATTTTACGTATCGCCTTCCACTCGCTCGAGCTCGGAACTCCTCGCGCGCGCGAGACTAGGTAGACCCGAGGTTTCCTTTGATCGCGACGCGACAAAGTTCGCGAATCGTTCGGAAGGAACTCGCGTGGATGAGTTTCTTGACGCGTGCGCGAACATAGTACGACTCCATTTATCGGAATAGTACGATGGGAAAGTTTCTCTCTTAACGGAAGCTTGGGGATCGGTAGAATATTGGAGAAGTCGAGGAGGCAGCATAAAGTTGACTCTGTAAAGTTGGAACGAATCTTGCACGTCTCTTATATGTATATGTACGAAATTCGCAAGTTTACCATCGAATTGAATTCCACTCGCGTGGTTTTTCCTCGAAAATTGAATGAGGGATCCGTTTGTATAGTAAAACTGAAAGAAAAGCGATTGCGCAACAATATCTACTAATCTCTCATTTCTTTATTTTAAGATATTAATTATCGTGTAGAATCAAGTCCAAAAATATCTTTACACCGACGAACTAAATGAAGGTGCTATGAATTACTCAGAGAACCGTCTACGACAAGATGGCCGGCCTAAGGGCTAATGAGTCTAAAACACGCGAATCTACTAAAAAGGGAATAAAGTCTAACACAGGGTGACAATGCGTCTCTCTCTTTCTCTCTTCTCTTTTGCTCGCAAGCTCGCCGGAAACACTCAAGCTGAAGAACGAGGGTGTTCGGATCGCAAAGTTGGTCTTGTTAGGCCTGCAAAAGGGGATTCCGCTCAACCAACCGTGCCAGCCTTAAGGGCCCTTACTCCACCAGAGGCACGCTTCGTTTCTCGATTGATTCTTTATTTTACAATCGCCGTGGCCCCCGCAAAGGACAACGAATACACGAGGCCGGCGCGACGCGGCGCGTTACGGTCGCAGGACACGCTCCCCGTTCGTGACCCTTCCGTCTGCCAATTTCCGGTCGCCCCATGTCATCGTTTTCCACGTCGCCTATTCGTCTCCGGTGATTCTACCTATCGGACGTTGCGTGATGCAATAGTAGTCAAAGCGTTTGTAATAACTTGAATTCTAAAATGAACAGATCCCTCGGAGGCATTTTTGTTTTCCATTAAACGTAAATTAAGAGCTTTATTAATGTTTCTTCTTTCTCTACCGTCTGCTTTTTCTTTCGCTTGCATTGAAACCGTTTACACATTTACAATTAATTACAATAATTTTGACAGATATAATATATAGGGTGGATACTAAGTAATGCAAAAGATTTTAAAGAGTGATTTCTCATACAAATTCAAGACAAAAATTTCATATATCCAAAACGGCATAATTTCAAAAATATAGAGTGTAACAATTGAGAAAATAGATACATCTTAAATATGTAATATTTCCTCGAAATGCACACATGCATACATGGCTTAAATTGAAAATCTAATGTTCGTCTCTCGTTACTCATCGCGTAATTCATTCCAATCTTCTTTCTTCTCGCTCGCAGTAATCACCTATTTCCGTTCGATTTGCAGAAGGAGGAGGCTCTACCGAGTCTTCCGGTTCCGGACCTCGAGACGACCTTGCAGAAATACCTGGCGCAGGTCGAAGCCATCACGCCGAACCACCTGGAAAGAACTCGGAGCTTGGTACGAGCCTTCCTCTCGGGTCCCGGACCGAAACTCCAGCAACGTCTCCTGGAACGTAGGCAAAAGACGACCAACTGGGTGAGTAATCAATTTCACACACGAACGTCAATAGTCGCATTGTCGCGAGACAAGTTCTAACGGAACTTTAATGCGGAAAATAAGTGGAAATGTGTCTTTATCCGCTGGATTAAAGATTTTCATTCGCCTCAGGAGAAAATTGCGTTTAGATTATGCCATTCTGAGTCACGTTACTTCGCTTGGATTTACGGAACTTCGTTTGTAAGCCGTCAACGTACCGAGACCTTGTCTACTTCTCTATTCCGTAAAGATCGCCGAGAAAACATCGAGTCTGCCGGAAAGTCGAGTCAGACGACGACTTATAAATCCGTAATACAGCCGTCGCGCGTCGCTTTAAAACGAGGGTCTGTCCCGTCGCGAAAAGGAAGACGAGGAAGAAAGGAAAAAAAAAAGGAAAGTCGCGGTGTGTGTGTCACGGTCATGGGGATCGAGCGGTAGAGAGATCCTCTCCGGCTCGTCTAAGTGGCACAACACCATTTTCGTTTCAAGCCCGCGGTGCCTCGGGAGAATTTGCTCCTACACAGGGTGTTCGCCTGTGCGATCGATCGCGATATCTCTGCGAGGATGAGAGATCGGTGCGCATGTAGGACAAATTAAAATAGAAGGAACGAAGAATTTTGAGAATCTAAACATAGACTTTGAGAGGAAATAAAATCTTACGTGACCTCTCGCACACATGTAGATGGATAAATTCTTTTTATATAAATTCTATTTTATTTCAAAATTAGAAAGGGTAAGAAGCAAATTATCGATTAAAACTTTTCATTTGCCTACATAAATTTATTTAAAAATAATGCTTAACATTACCTATACATAAGATCCGGAATAAAAGAATGCATTCCAGGAAAGAAATAAAATTGATATAGATACGAGCTTTGCTTCTATGCCCCAATCTATTGGACAATATCTTACTTAAATTCTGTCACTGGAGAGGTTCTCATTCTTCGGCAAGAATCACCGTTCTGCGCATTAAACGTGCGAATAAGTAAACACCCCGTATATTCCGAGCGAGCTCCTGGAGAGGCCCGGAGACGGAGTCGAGTAGTCCGCACGCGAGAGCTTCCCCCCGTGACTTTTGCCGTTCCCCCTCATCCCGGTACGGTCGTTCCCGTGGGATTCCCGGTTCGATGCATGCGCCGGCTATAAGCCGCGCCTCGCACCCCCTCGTTGCGGCCCGCAAGCCCCCCCGTGGCACATAAATAAATAAATAAATGGATTTACGCGAGGGCCCCGGCGCCCTCCCGCCACCCCGCGCATCGCTCCGCTCTTGCTACGCACCGGTGAAAGGGGATGGACGTAAGGGTCGCCCGGACTGTACCCGGAACAATGCAAATATTGCCCGAGGAATGAGGACGAGGAGGAGGGTGACACAGTCGGAGTCACGTTGTACGTATAAAGCGATTGTCGAGCAAAGAGACACCAATAACCGATGACTATATATATATGCAAATAACGTTCCGCGCCGCGGATTTCGAATTTGGATTTACAGACTGGAAATTCGTTTACGTTACGACGAGGATTCGTTAGCGCGCGTCAAAAAGGTACCGCATGCTGGAATACATCGGATAAACGCGGCAGAAGCCGTGTGCAGCGTATACCTATTCTATTCTCGGTATAAAATAACTTTGTAGATGGGGGGACAAGAGAAGCGCGTCACGGATTTACATTCTATATATATAGGTGTCGAGAAGAGACGAGGTACGGCGATCAAATATTTACGGACAACGTTACGCTTTACTTGACTCCGGGATAGCGGATACAAATGTATTTATTTTTGCATTTTTCAGCAAAAAAAAATTGTATTCGACCTAAAGTATCTCCACACGAAGTTTACGAAGGATTTACTGGTGGGTTCTGCAAAATTTCCGAGATGAAACGAAACGCGACAATCACGATATCAGGACGAGAATTATGAGTATAAGTTTGATACGCTTTATTCGAGCAATTGGATTTCTATTTCTGCAAGATTTCCATCGTTATAAAATTTGTCTCGTATAAAATATCTCTATCACTCGTAATATATCCAAACGTAATAAAATAATAAAGTACGAAAAATAAAGTACAAATGTCTCCGTTTGAACTTTAATTCGTCCGAAAATTTTCTTCTCTCATTAGAATATCTTTCTAATATGGCTTTTAACGGATTCCTCTTTGTCATATTTCTCACATAAATTTCCTCGAGCGCTCTGCGTAATAGTACATCCGTTACGAGGCAGATTAATTCACCGCAATTTTATCTCCGAGGAATACATTTATCGCGCGGCGCGATAATGCCTCCCTCTCTTCTCCGCCATTCAGCGATCTTCCACAGAAGCGCCTTATTTCTTACCACTCCGGGAATAGTCTGTCCTCCTCTTTCTGCTCCTTCTCTCTCATGTAATTTTTCTAATTTAGCCGAACGGCCATTCAGCATCGAGAGCGGGAGGCGCACGAGGCTCGGCATCGCACAATCGTCGGTCCGGGTTTTCGATTTGCCGGCATACATCCGGAAATACATTTTCGTTTCTCGTTTCTTTAAGGGTCGACCTCTCGCACTCTCGCACCCCCTCCTCCCCTCTCTGCCCTCCAGCGCCGCCCCGAGCGAAGTGTCGCGAGAAAAGCCAGACATGAAAGCAATTTTCTCGCCAGCGGCGGCTGTCGCACGAATTGCCGCCGCTCCTTCCGATTCTCGCTTTCCCTTTCTCGCTATCTCTATCATTCATCTGATCGATGGGAATGCCCGGCCGCATTATCCGGTTACGCGTTTCGAGATGACGCGACGGTCTTGTAAAAGCGAGCGCCGGTCAATTGAGGGGCTCGCCGACGAAGGTATTCGATCTCTCCGGAGGTAAAATTAGGTTGGTCCTGTACATACATTAAGATTTATAAGGAGAAATTTCGAATGCGATTCCGCATTATTAGACGTGTCTTTGACTTCAGATCGCGATAACTTAATTACGCCCACCTGGGATAAATCTTCATCATCCCTTCAGCCCGCGCGGCATCCCCTTTAAAAACCCGGATATTTTTTCCCGCGTTTGTTTTCTCCGATGATGACAGTCGCCGACTTCGCGGGGTGAGAAAGGTATATATAAAAGCGTCGCGTGGAGCACAGGGGTGGCCGAGAGCCTAAAACCTCGGGTCGGGTTGTGCGCCTCTGTTGCTGGTCGTTTCGGGCACGTCGCGGGCGAGTCGCGATGGCGACGGTAAGCTAATATTACGGTGCCCCGCGGCGAACTGGAAAATCTCATTGGGGCCTCCATTATTCATCCGCAAGCCCGGGACCCCCCCTTCGTTCGTTCGTTCGTTCGTTCGTTCGTTCGTTCGTTCGTTCAGTCCGTCTGTCCATTCGTGTGCTTCATAGTTTCCGCGGTGATAAATTCAATTCGAATTACAAACGCCCGGAATTAATCCCCTCCCCCCCTCTCCGTCCTCCTTTCACTGTCACACTCGACCTTTCTCGCGCGTTCTCCTCATCCACAGTTCACAGCCGACGCGACGGGGCTCGACGGGGACGATGCGATTAAACACCTCGTGACTTTACCGGAATGAGTCCGTCCGTGAATTTGCAGAGATCTTCCGGGAAGTAACTTTGCATCTCGTTTCCGACGCGAAATTCTATATTCTCTTGCAAAGCTTGCGAGATAAGTGCCTCGCCATTATCTTTCGAAATAGACATTCTTTTTGAAGATATAGTTCCTTTTTAAAAGTAAAATACGTATTAGATCCAGAATGTGCAAAGTACAAACGAATTTGCGTGTTGTTACAGTAAAAATATCGCAATCTCGCTGTTACATGTCATTTAATTTCTGTCTCTGAAAATTGACTTGCCAAGAAGCTCTTTATTCTGAATGTTTATATCTCAACAAAAATTGACAATGCTCCGATTTTTTTTTATTGAGAAGAAGTCCGCATCAAATTGACCGAAGATCTTTAAGAAATAATGCAATAGAAGTGAAACAGTCTGACAAGCGCGGCACAAATTACTGCAAAAATTCAGAAGATAAAGAAACATTTTTTCTGAAAAAATGTTTTGTAATTTTTTTAGCAAAATTTTATACATATTACTAAATAGTTTATTGCAATTGCTACATCTTGACAATATCTGCAGTAAGTATAATACCGTTCCAGGTACGTACATACACATTTAAATGCGCGTGCGAAAGTAACGCTGTCGCCCGCCGCGACAAAACGATTAAAGTAGATGTGTCCTCCTTCGTACAAGAGGAAGGAATAAGCGGATAGGATGGAAGCAGGTGGATACCGTCCAGAAATATCGTGAGCACGTGCAAATGGCCGCGTGTCGGGGCTCAGGAGAGATCTTCTTCTGCGGGGAACCGACAATGTCTCATCCCCCGCGAGGAGCACGGGAAAGGAGTGAAGTACGAAAAGGAGAAGCGATAAACTTTTATGGCCGTAAGCTCTCACTTGCCCGGACGGTCGTGTCTGCTCGCGAGCATCCGAAACTTGGGCGAGAAATATAATTTCATTCCTACGCTCGTGAAATTGTTGCGGAGGAAAATGCATGTACCAACGAACAGAATAAGATATTATTTAATGCCTCGGGGATATTTGCGGAATAAATATTGGGGAATGATTAAAAAATAAGAAATTATAGAGAGAAGGAAAATCTTTTCCAAATTTGCTTTACTGTCGTTCAAAAAAACATCGTGCAAAGAGAATTAGTGAAGAGCTTCTCAAAATGTCGAATAAAAAAAGTCGAATTGGGAACAAATCCACTGCGCTCGTAAATGTCATTTTAAACAATTCTTAAATATTTTAAGAAAGAATTACAAAACGTCTGTCGAAATCTTTTTAATTTCATAAATGCATTTTTTATTTGAAGTTCAGATAAGTAAATACAGTAACGTGTAATCACTCGATTCACGTGAAAACTCAACGGTAACGTAAAGAGAAGACTACTGATTCGACAAACTCTGTGCAAGTATTTGTTACATCCACTTTCCGCGTATAAGAGATCGCGGAATTGCTGTCAAACTGAACAACCGGGAAGAAAGGAA